TGGAGCAGCACCACCATCCATTAATCACAATCGATAAATTCTAATCAAAGCTCAGAAGTAATGTTTCTGAAATGTGATCATAAAACTAGATATGCTGTCCCAGAGAGAGCTCTAGATTGAAAAGCACTTATGCACAAATGGCTTGTGCTTTTCCCCTTAAAAAAGCAACTATCCTGGGGCTGGAGAGATGGCCCAGTGGTTAAGGGAACTTGCTGTTCTCACAGAGGACCCACATTGGGCAGCTCACAACCACCTGTAGCTCCAGTTCTAGGGGGTCTAATGATCTCTTCTGGCTCCTGAGGGAACTGTACTCATATGCACATATACATATACAGATAATTAAAAATAAAAATAAATCTTTAAAGAAAAAGAAAAAAGCAAAGGTCCCTGAATTCCACCTGGCCCACAGAGACACGGCTGTGCTGTGAGGGCCTCACCATTTCACGTCTCCTCACACTTCTGGGTGAGCACCTCACAAGTGACATATATTGACATATTTTAACTTTCCAGCCTGTTTATCAAGAAAGAGGCTACCACATACTTTAATCCCAGAACTCAGAAAGCAGAGGCCAGCAGATCTCTATGAGATCAAGGCCATCCTAGTCTACATAGTGAGTTCCAGGCCAGCTGGGGGCTACAGGGAGACCCTGTCTCAAAAATCCAAACAAAACCAAAAGGGACCAATTGGTACAGCATTAAACAACTAGTCCAGTTGTCACTGGGACCCATGGCCCTTGAAGAGTGTCTTAACTGGAGATAGCCCCACTGTCTTTCCCTGGTAAGAATTCAAAAGAAAACTACCATCGTTCTTTGAGATAGCTCATGAACAGCCCAGGCAACGGCAATTAGGTTGGTTTATATTCTCCTCCCTCTTAAACTAGCCCTTGTGTCCTAAATGTGCACTTTTAGGCGTCAGGCGTTAGAACAGATTAGACTACACAATTACGTGTAATTAAAGGGGGGAAACAGCTACAGCACTGCAAAGATTACCCCATGTTTTGCTGAAGTGAGGCCTGTCTATGACCGTGGGCTGGCCCAGGGAGGCAGCGTGAAACACAATTAGGGTTCTTCTCTTTTAATGGGGGCCTACGCTGTTTATCAGTATCACAATATCTGAAAACATAGAAACACGTTTTTTCTAATGCCAGGTTGTTTCTACTGACAAGACAGCTTGGGTCCAACTGAAACTTTGGCAGAATTAACCACAAATTTATATTGTTATGCAAGATACTGGAATTTGTATTTTAAAAGCTGTGCAAAACCGGTCTCCACTCGGGAGCTGGGAAGTTTGATCTCCACCTCTGGAGAGGGACTGCAGGCTTTTCTCAAAGAGGCTAGTTACAGCCAAACTTGTGGGCATTATTAAAACCACCTGTGTCCTAGCTCTTGGGGCCTCAGCCTGAGCCTCCCATCTGCAGCCATGTCCCTGCGTTTAATGTTTCTTCTTTACACGCCAATTTGTTTGAGACATGTTAAAAGGTTGTCTTTTATAACCCTCATAAAAGCCCATCGACTCCAGCCCAGATGTGGCCAGAAAAGCTTGGACAATTCGATTGGGTTTCAACCTGTGGACTAAGACGGAGAAACTCAAAGAAAAAGGGATTCGAGTTTCCATTGCTGTCTGTGAGCCAAGGAAGTTACAGTGGAAAAGATGGGTAAGTTGGACCCATGGTGTCCAGTATAGCAGCCCACCAAGGGGTTCCCAGTCAAGATAAGGCCCTGTGAGGTTAAACCAGCAATGGGGGAAGGGGGATCATGGAGTTTGCTAGGAATTAGGGGAAGATACACGACAGGAGGGCACTTTGCAACCCCTCTGTCCCCTTGGTCTGGCGACCAAGTTCCTGTACAAGGCACACACACTCACACACACACACACACACACACACACTCTCTCTCTCTCTCTCTCTCTCTCTCTCTCTCACACACACACACACACACACACACACACACACACACACACACTCACTCACTGGTAAGTTCTGTCGCCTACTTCTTAAGGAATGACAAGGGTAAAATGCAGATGTCCACAGCACTGCGTCAGATCTTCTGGCTGCGCTAGCAGGAAGAAAACACAAGAAATAATCATGGGATTCCATCAGACCAGCTAGTGCCCAGCCACAGGTAGGTGACTGTGAGCTGCCCCTTCAGAGGTTCCTGGTGAAGCCTGGGGACACAGCCATCTGGGGACAGAAAGCCACAGTCTAAAAGGCAGGGTGTGCTCATACCATGGTTTTTGAAGTTTTTTGTAGTGGAACACCCCCCTCCACACACACTTCTAGAACATTCTCTAGAATCTCAAAGTAGTCAGAAGTCCCAGCCCTGGGTACCCCCTCCTTCTTCTGCCCCAGACCCCCTATGAGGCTTTAAAGTCCTGTTAAAAAACTGCTGTCCCAGTGTGGTACCTGGCCCAAAGCCAGGCAAGGCCTCTGGGGTCTAAAAGCCACCCACCAAGTTTGTGGCTGTGGGCAAGACCCTGGTCTCTCTGAGCACCTGTTTTCTCAAAGGATTGTAAGTGTACATTTCATGTGATAACCAGGCACAAACACTCCCCAGCTAGCAGAACCTTCTGGAACTGTATTGTCTGGGTGGGGAATCCCAAGCCATGGGGCTGGCTCAGACTGAGGTGTGTTGGAAGTAGAAAATCACATACTGTAAACAGAAAAAAGAATGAGCACTATTTCATTAATACTTGCGGTTGCTGTTTGGGGTGTTTTTGAGACAGCCTCATTGTGTAGTCCAGGCTAGTCCCAAACTTTCAGCAATGCTCCTGCCTCAGTCTGCCCAGTGCTGGGATTACAGGTGAGCACCACCATGCTGGGGCTCCTTCCTGCTGCCTTCTCATTTATACCGGGTCTCAGAAGTTTCACATCACATGTACAGTGTGACACATCTACTGAACAGTGCTCCAGGGAGTGCTTGCGCACGCGCCACCCCCCCACCCCCCCACCCCCACCCCGCTCGTGCACGCCTTCCCCTCCTCTCCAGCCTTCTCTCTGCCAATGTTTTTTGTTTCATAAAGGTGAAGAAGCAAGCCTGTTTCCAGACACACAGGCTGCACATAAGCCAGAAGTGGGGTGCCACTCCCGACTTGGAAAAGCAGGTTCTTCTGAAGTATTTAGATTCCAGATTAATCTGGATTGTTAAATAGAGATTATGGATTCTAGAGCCTCCAACCCACAGTCCATTTGAACTTTAAACTACAAAGTTTTCTTCATAGTATATCACCAAGGATGCTTTTATTTACTGAATTTGACACTGCTAACCAAGAAGAAACCAGAAAGATCGCACCAAAAAAGAGGCTAGGCTGGAAAATCAGCACAGCCTAGGTGTTCTGATTTAACTCTGGAGCCAGTAACTTAACCTCTCTGTGACTTGGTTTCCCTATCTGTAAAATGTATATAATACTGTGACGCTTAGGTAAGTTTCTGCGCTGCCAGTCCCTTCACAGGAGGGTCTGGTCCCCCGCCCCCGCCCCAGCACTTCAGTCCATTTTCTGCTTCTACCAGTGGGCTCGGCGGGCTCCTCATCCACCCCCATCAGCGGGTGGCTGCAGGGACCTTGGAAACCTTGTAGACAGCACCACCTGGAGTCGAGTACTCCGTTTACCGAGGCAGCTGGTCTCCTTTCTTTCCTACTCCTGGCTCAGGTCTGGGCAACGCTACAGCTTTCGCTTGAGCACAAGTTAATTTCTCAGAGAGCTTCGGAGGCGCGTGGGAAGGTCCCGGGCGCGTGGGCAGTTCCTCCTGCGATCTAACTTGGGGATCGGCCCGGGTCGGCGTCTCCAATGGCAAGTGTGTGTGTTTAGAGGCGAGCGCGGGGCTTTCAGTCGGGTGTTTGCAAACCGGGGCGAGCCCCTGTGAAAGCAGATCAAAGAAAACATTTATTAACGTGTCATTACGAGGGGGAGCGCGGGGCCGGGCTGTGGCACGCCTCGGGGAACACTTGGCTGCGGGCAGCTCCGAGGGAGGAGGAGGAGGAGAAGAAAGCGGACCAGAGGCTCGGATCCCGGGGGTCTCCACCCGGTGGGCCTGCGCCATGGCCCTCCCGACCTGGTGACGGCGTGGGCATCAGCGATGCCCCCCTGGTCCGAGTGGCCCGCACGCGCACACGCACGCACGCGCGGCCCTGCCTCGCCGGCAGCTTCGGGGCGCAGCGCACATCGGTGTGGAGTCCCCGCCGAGGGCGAGCGGGAGCGAGTGCGCCGGGTGAGTGCGTCTGGGGCCCGGTGAGGGTGCGCGCTCGGCGCCGGGAGCGCGGCCCGCCAGGCGGCTCTGCAGGCCGGGAGGGCGCGGAGACCCCCGGGCCCGAGGCACGCACGCGCGGCCCTGCCTCGCCGGCAGCTTCGGGGCGCAGCGCACATCGGTGTGGAGTCCCCGCCGAGGGCGAGCGGGAGCGAGTGCGCCGGGTGAGTGCGTCTGGGGCCCGGTGAGGGTGCGCGCTCGGCGCCGGGAGCGCGGCCCGCCAGGCGGCTCTGCAGGCCGGGAGGGCGCGGAGACCCCCGGGCCCGAGGTAAGCGCGGGATGGCCGGTCGCTGGGTCCCGGGTCCCCACGCGCGGAGGC